TTTTTTAAAATTTTTAAGCAATTGGGGTTAAGTGACTTGCTCAGGGTCACACAGCTAGTAAGTGTCAAGTATTTGGTCTAAGGTCCGGATTTGAACTCAGGTCCTCCTGACTTCAGGGATGGTGCTCTATCCACTGCACCACCTAGCTGCCCCCTTCATTTACTTTTTTTGACAGGCCTGTTGGGTTAAGGGAATGCTATAGATGTAGTATACCCAGATTTCAGCAGCTCATTTGATAAAGACTTTCATATTGTCCTTATTGATGAGATAGAGTGCTACAGACTAGGAGAGAGTACATTCTGGCAGATTTGAAACCATTGAAATGGCCAGACCAAAGAGTAGTCATTGGTCGGTCATTTTGAACTTGGAGGAAAGTCTCTAGTGCACTGCCCTGGAATTCTATCTTTGGCCTTAGTCTATTTGACATTTCTATCAGTGACTTTGATAAAGTCATAGATGGTATTCTTGTCAACTTTGTAGATGACACAAAGCTGGGGGAAGGGGGTTAACTAACACACTGGATAACATAGGAGCCAAATAGATCTTGACAGCCTAGAGAACTGGACTTTCTCAAATAAGATAATAACAATAGCTAGCATTCATATGGTACCTAGTATGTGCCAGGCATTGTACTAAGAATGATACAAATATTATCTCATTTGACCCAGGAGTAGGTGCTATTATTATCCCCACTTTACAGTTGAGGAAACTGAGACAGACAGAGGTTAAGTGACTTGCCTAAGGTTACACACCGTGGGAGTGTCTGAGGCCATATTTGTACTCAGGTCTTCCTGACTTCTAGGCCTAACTCTCTGTGCGTTATGGCGTCTCCTAGCTGCCTTATGATTTAAAATAAGATTAAGTGTAAAGTTCTACTTGAGCTTAAAATGCTCACTTTGTCAGTACAGGATGAGTGAAGATGTGGGTAGATAATGGTTTCTGCAAAACTCCTGTGGGTTCTAGCAAGCTCAGTATGAATCAATGGTGCAATAGAACAGCCTCATGTTGGAGACCGTATTTGAATTGAATTTTGATGGGAATTAGAGATTCCAAAAGATAGCGGTGCAGGAGACAGAGCGTTGGGCCTGGAATCAGGAAGACTTCAGTTCAAATCCAACCTCAGACACTGACTAGCTATGTAATCCTGGGCAAGTCACTTCACCCTGTTTGCCTCAGTTTCCTCATCTGTAAAATGAGCTGGAGAAGGAAATGGCAAACCAGTACAGTATTTTTGCCAAGAAAACCCTAAATGGGGTCACCAAGAGTCAGACACAACTGAAAAATGACTAAGCAAGAGGAGAGAGTGTGTTTCAGACGTGGGGGGACAGCCTATGCCGAGGCAGAGATGGTCGGAGATGGAACATTGTGCATGAGGAACGGCAAGAAGATCATTTTGGGGGCAGCTAGGTGGTACAGTGGATAGCGCACCAACCTTGGAGTCAGGAGGACCTAGTTCAAATCTGGTCTCAGACACATAACGCTAGCTGTGTGACCCTGGGCAAGTCATTTAACCTCGATTGCTTCTCTCTCACACACACACAGAGAAGATCATTTTGGCTGGACTGAAGAGTATGTGAAGGGGAATAATGGAAAAGAAGTCTTGAAAAATAGGGCAGACTATGGACTCTTCCCTCTGTTGAATAAAAATGCCATGCAAACGTCAAGCTCTCTTTGGTTCTGAGAGCAGGTGACTCTCTCTAGCAATCTGTCTCTTTCTAAGGGCCTGTGCGGACTCATTTTCTAAAGGGGCGTGCGTTAGTCTGGACAGACCCAAGAAAATTCAGTTCCAAGCCCCAACCCTACTGGAAAACCACGCCATGCTGTATTTCCCAAGTCCTAATCAAACCCTAACCTCAGAAAATGGAGTCGGCTCCTTGTGGGAAGAGATGAGACATGCTTAGTGGTCTGCAGTCACCTGGACCTCTTAGTGCAGACTCCAAAAAGGTAACACGCATTATACCACACAACATGTGCCACTGGGCTCTGCCCCTTGGGCTCTCCCAGTTCCAGACCATACGCACCCTGTAGTTCTGCATATTTCAGTTTCCTTGGTCTCCATGGGTGCAGGCAACAGATAATTCAATAGAATTTGCACCCGAAGCCAAACACACTTTCAATAGGGTACTCTTTGTTTTTGGTTTGTTTGGGGTTTTTTTTTGGCTAGGCAATGGGGTGAAGTGACTTGTCCAGGGTCACACAACTAGTAAGTGTCAAGTGTCTGAGGCTGGATTTGAATTCAGGTCCTCCTGACTCCACTGCACCACCTAGCTGCCCCCCCTTTTTTTTTAAATTCAGGTTATTAAGGGTTTTATTTCTATATTTTTTTGGTGAGGCAATGGGGTGAAGTGACTTGCGCAGGGTCACACAGCTAGTAGGTGTCAAGTGTCCAAGGTCATATTTGAACTCGGGTTTTTCTGAATCCAGGGCTGGTGCTTTATCTACTGTGCCATCTAGCTGCCCCCTCAGTAGGGGTACTCTTTAGATGAAGCCTCAAGAGCTGGGCTCAGGGTCATAGCTCTCCCTCAAAGGCACAGGCTTCAATTCAGAGACCCTAACTGATCCCTACTGAAGCTAGTTGATCACTCACAGTGAGAGTGGACTCAAAGGATAACTCCAACAAAGAGATGCCTGCCATCCCCATGGGGCCCCAGAATCTTCCTGACCTTGGGATCTGGTCTCATGTCGTATGCCTTCTATTTACACACTCCCCCTCTTCCTCTCCACCAGCAGTCAAAACTCAGTTATCCTCAGACAGCCTGGGCCAACAGAGCAAGAGGGGACCTATGTGAAGGAGGGAAGACGTTGGGGAGGGGGTATCATTTTAATTATCCTCAAGTATTTGCTGTCCCATGCAAGGACTTAGACCTGTTCTGTTTTGCCCTCAAGGGCAGAAGTAGCAGTAATGTGAGCCAGAGTAGTAGAGTGAGAAAAATTGTAGACTTGGTATCAGAGGACATGGATTCAAATCCTGCCTTTGAAGCGAACTGGTAGAAAGTCATCTACCAAGGAAAACTTGACATTTGCCTAGCATTGTTATTTAGCAGTATGAAGGGTGTGCAATCCTCACACTGAGCGTGGGACTGATATAGTTCACATGGAACTAGATCATCTCCCTGGACCTCAGATTCCTCATTTACCAAATGAAAAGTTTGGAAAAGTGTGGCCTCTGAGGTCTCTTCAAGTGCGGAAGCTATGGTTCTCTGTTGGGGTCACTGATTTTAGCTTTTTGTTAGAGTCATTAAAAGTGGACATAGGCTTGGAGTGGGCTTCCTCTCACTGGAGAGCCTTAAGTAGAGACCAGATGGCCACTTACTGACCCTGTTGACCAGAGGATATGCCAGGAGGACTAGGTGTCTTCGAAGTCCCTTTTCGACTTTTAAATCCTCTGGTGGCCATGTCGGCCTCTGTCGGGGTGGCGAGATATGGTTAGCTTCCACCAATCGGGTATTCTAAAGCTGTGTGACATCATCTCTGGAGGTTCAGGTTTGGAAGGTGCAGCAGCAGGGTAGCGTGACAGGAAGGTAGATAGGGGTCTGTGTTTTGAGGATCACAGATTTAAAGCTGGGGGGCCATTGGGTTCAACCTCCTCTTTTACAGATGGGGGAACTGTAGCTGAGACTTCCCCAGGCTCATACAGTTAGTGAGCACCTATAGCAAGATTTGAACTCAGGTCTTCCTGACTCCAAACCCAGTGCTCTAGCCTTTGTGCTCCAGCTGCCTCTGAAACAATCTTCCTCTAGCCACCGTGGTCTCTTTTTTAGGCGTCATCAATCTCATGACAGAATTTAAAAGACCATCTAGTGCAATTCACACCTGCAAAAGCATTCTCTTTACCACTCTACTTAGCATCAGACGTCTAAGAACAATAAAGACTTCTTAGGGGACATGAGAGATTTGTTAGATCCCGGATCTCCTTCTCTAAGACAAATCCTTCAATTCCTTCTAACTTTGCTCACAGGTGATGGTCTAAAAGCCCTTCCCCATCCTTGTTACCTTCTCTGGGGACTCTCAAGATTATTGATGTCTCACCATCCCTGGAGTCAGGAGGACTTGAGTTCAAATCCGGCCTCAGACCAAACACTTGACACTTGGTAGCTGTGTGACCCTGGGCAAGTCACTTAACCCCAATTGCCTAAAAAGAAAGAAAAAAAAAGGTTATTGATGTCCTTCCTAAAATATGGTGCTCAGTATCAGATGCAATACTAGCAGAGAACCTTGTATACAGCAGGCATTTAATAAGTGTGTGTTGAGTTGAATCAAACTCTAACCAGGGAGACTAATGCTTTCTTTGTTTTGGATATTGTACTATAGGTAGAACAGTGAGTACAGCATAGGACGTAGAATCAAGGAGATCTGAATTCAAATCCTGCCTTAGATGCTTACTAGCTGTGTGACCCTGAGCGAGTCACTTCAATTCTCTGTGCCTCAGTTTCCTTTATCTCAAATAGAGATAATAACAGTACTTACCACTTAGGCTCATTGTGAAGTTCAAAAGAGTTAACCTATGTTAAAGTGTTTTGCCAACTTTAAAGTGCTCTATAAATGCTAGTTATTATTATTACTACTATTATTAAGTATGTTCTTTCCATTATATCATGGTGCCTCTCACCCAGTCTGCCATGTTGGCAGCCTTGGGGAAGCCCAGTCTTCTAGTTCCATTTCTGCTGTACTGCACTGTCTCCCTCTTCGTCACTTTCAAGGTCTGCTTCTCCCCATCTCCTCCTGTCTCCGTAATCATTTTGTTCCCACCTCATCTTGTCCCTATCTCCATTTGTGTTGGTCCCCATTTGGGCAAGTCATTTCATCTCTAGGCCTCAGTTTCTTCATAAGTTAAATGAGGAAGCTAAGACTGATGACCTCTAATTCAGGTCCCTTCTGGCTTTAGATGTATGCTCCAATTCCTGTCTCCTCATTGCATTATTCCTGGACCCCCCTTCCTCTTTCCATTTCTGCCTCTTCTCGTCTCTGTCTGTCCCTGTCTTTCACCCTCATCGGCTCAGCTGCTTGGATCCCACTCTGCCCTCTTCGTTGCCCGGGGCCCTACGGTGTCCCTCAAACCTTCACGCTGCTGGTCCCCGGAAGCTGGCCATCCAGAAAGCAGCAAGTTTCCACTGTAGAGTTGTCATGGCAACCTGGGAAACACTTTAGAACAGGGCACCCTTTTGAAGTTAGAGGAGGGGGGCAGGATGCCATCTCTCTGAGTCTCATTGGAGCCTCTGAGGCTGCCCTTCTCTTCCTCTCCACTTAAAATGTAGCCAGCCCCTGAGCTCAGTGCAGGGGCTCTTTCCTGTTTTGTCATAGAGGGATCTCAGCCCAGAGGCTGCCACTGCTAACCAGTTTGTCCAGCCAGGGAGGACCAGAGGGTCTGTAAGTGAAGACAGCACCTCCTTCTCTCCCCCCATAAATATAGGTAATCTCTTCTTCTACAGGGATGCAGACTTGGGGGTTTTTCTCTACAGACTTCTGCCTTACCTAATACAGCTCAGGATGTTAGAGGTGGGGGGAGGAGGAAAGCAGTGGGTTCAGATCCTGTGTATGATGGGGACCTTGGGAGCAAGGAACACTGGGAATGAGAGAAGCTAGGGCTAGAAGAGGTTTGGGACTGGGGCGCCTGAGCTGGAGCGTCTTTGTCCATTCCGTTCCCAACATACTCCTTGTCTTCCCCAGTGCAGGCCCTAATCCCGGAGGCCAAGAGAAGAGAGGGAAGCCCATAATAAATATCTCATTTGGACATCTCTCTCTCTCCCTCTGGCTCTTCAAGTAAGGGTAGGCACTATCTCTATGTCTTAATGTTCTTCTCCAATGTTCCTCTGCTTCTCCAATTGACCAGCCTTGGCCCAATCCTCTCTGAGTCTGAGGTGGATGACAGTCTGAATGGGAACTGAGATGTGTTAGGGGAGGGGAGGAAGAGGCTTGGGTCAAGCCTGGGAAGATGAGGAAGGGCTTCTCTGGAACCTAGGGGTTTTTCTCCTAGAAGTGGTAGGGGGAACAAGGATTATCAGAAGAGGGAGCTAGGGAGGGGACAGAAAATACTAGATTTGGTGGAGTAGGTCCTGACCCAAGGGGAAGGTGGGGAGAAATTAGAAATTCTCCTAAGAACATGAAAGATGTGGCCAGTGGGGGCACTAGGCACCCTTGGGAGACTGTCCCTCTCTGTGTCTGAGCTTTGTCAGGTTTTGATGGCCTTCTTCCAGACTCATATGGGCCCATCAAACCCTCTGTTGGCTCACACACAAGGGTTTCCCCCCATCTCCCCTCCTAGTACTAACCTGTATCTCCACAGGAAGGAACAGAATGAAAGGGGAACCCGAGGAAGACATTCTCTCTGCCCCATACCAGAGCCAGACATGCCAAGGTCAGACAGATGTGGGGGGTGCTGGGACCACCCCATCCCTTACCCCCAGCCTGGATGAACACCAGGGCCAGAGTAACCAGGTGAGTCTGGGGTCCTCCCGCATTCTCTTGCATCTCCCAGCTTGGGCCCAGGGTGGGTGCAGGAGCTAGTGTCTCTGAGAAACAAGGGGGGAGGGGATATAGTGGAAAGAGCCCTGGGTCTGGAATCACAAGACCTGGATTTGAATCTCCCTTTCTATCTATGGGGCTTTTGCTCACCATCCCTTCTCTGAGGCTCATCTGCATAATACTCGTACTGAGGCATTTAAAGACTTATGGTTTGTAAGCTGCGGCTCTGGGATAGGGGCTGGATTTGTGAGTTCAGTGGTACAGGGAGCTCCCACGTGAGGAAACTACTTCTACTAATGCAGATTGGCATCTTCTCTGCATCTTATGGTGCAGAGACTTACCCAGGGCCACACAGTATGGGTCAGAGGCGGATCTGTTCTGGCACCAAGGCCAAGACCAGATCTGGGTACACTATGCCAAGTTTCAACTTATTATAGAAACATGAGATTGTGTTATTATTAGAAAAGATGAGGCTATCTAGTGGGGCTGAGGCTGTCTAGGGTGCATTTTGGGGGACTAGAGAGGCATCTGTCTCCTCAGGGGCATTTGGCAGAAGCATTGGGTTAAAGTGACTCCTAGGATCTCTTTCCCCTGGGCCTAGGCCTGCTTTCCCTCTGGGTGCTCCCTGCCCAGTCCTGCTGGGCCTATACCCAGGAGACCCAGAATATCTAGTGGGTAGCCCAATTGGTGTGGACAGATAGCCAGTCATGGCAGTGTGTCATGAGAATGTTTGGAGGAAGGGCGGGGCAGGGCCGATGGGGATGGAAGTAGGCTTAAATCTTCCTGTGGCCTTCTCCTGCAGCTTCCTGACTCTTAGGGAAACAGATTTAAAAATTCCCTCCTCCCTCTAAGGATGTCTGAGTTGGAGAATGGGTGGGGTACAGTGGACTCAGGACAATAAAAGTCCAGAAGTGGGGACCACAAGAAACCAAGTTATGGCATCTGTCTCCTTCCCTCAAAGCTTAGGTCTGGCTGAGGAGGGAGGGCATAAACTTTTATATACCACCCACCACATGCAAGGCACTTTGCTAAGCACTTTACAGATATTCTATAATTTTTGATCTTCATAGCAACTCTAGGAAGTATGTGCTATTATTGTTCACATTTTGTAGTTGTAGAAACTGAGACAAACAGAGGTTGAGCGGCTTGCCTAGGGTAACACAGCTGGTATGTATCTGAAGCAGGATTTGAATCTGGGTCTTCCTGACTCCAGGCCCAGTACTGTATATTCACTATGCTGCCTAGCTGCCTGTAGATAGCAAGCCTGAGGCCTTCTCACCAGGCAGATGGACTCAAATGGGAAGGAGCCAATGCCCAAGTCCATGGTCCCCCATTCTTTCCATCCCTCCATTCTGAGCTAATGAGATTACTGCCAAAGGAAAGTTCTGTGCTATGTCTGGGGTTGGGGGTTGGGAGGGGATATCCTTTAGGTGGTAAGAGGTTCCGAAGTTTGGAGAGGTGGGAAGGAGGTTGTTAGGGCATGGGGTAAAGGGGAGAAAAGGTTCTGGAGGAAATGGAAGGTTTTAGAGGGAGATGAGAAGGTTCTGGGAGGGAGGAAAAGGAGTTCTAGAAGATGACAAGTAGGTCTTGGTGGGGAGAAAGACATTATCAGAGGGATGAGAGGTCTCAGGAAAGCCAGAGATCCAGAGAAGTCCTAGAAATGATGTGGAGGTCTGGGGCTGGAAGGGTAGGATGGAGGGGATCCTCAGAAGGAGGGATGGGGGAAGATTAGGGATGGAGGTTTGGACATGGCAAGGTCCTAGAGGGTTTCTTAGAAATCGTGAAGAAGACAATCCTGGAAAGCAAAAATGGAAAGTCTGAGGAGGAGAAGGAAGGACCTTGGGGGGAGATGTTCTCAGAGCATTGCAGAGGTCTGGCAGGGGTGGGGGAGAGGTGATGTCTGGGGGCAGAGACTTTCAGTGAATAGAGAGGTCCTAAGGTGTGGCTATCGGCCTCTTACTCAGTCTTCCTAATACACACATACCTTCACTTCCGTCTCAAGAATTAATAACTCCAGCAGAGGTTTGTGAAGATGAGGGCGTCAGGAGAAGAAAGGGCTTCTAATGAGAGTTGAGTCCTGTGACTTAGGAGAAAGTCCTTGGTGGCCCTGGGATTCATTGTCCAGAGCCATAGAAAATGCCCAAGGGACCCAGATGTGCAAGCCACTCAGCCTCAGTGTTCTCCTCCCCTCTGCTTTCAGGTTTATCAGCCTTTTAAGGAGTACCTTTCCAGGACAGAAGCTTCCGACTCTCATTGTACTGCTAGCTGGATGTACTCTACAAAACCAGTCTCTGCTTTGCCCACCCTGCTGGCCTGCCCAGAGCCCCTTAACCTCTACACCTGCAACCCGAGGCCCAACCCCCTGGGTACTGCCCTGGGAGGCCCGACTCTGAGTAAGGACCATGTTAGCCATGGACAGGGTTGCTATTTCTCTCATGATTCCTGGCGGGAGAATCAAGGAAGAACATTAGAAGGATTGAGAAGAATCTGGGGGTAGGGGCTCAGTGAGGGGACTGAGGCTCAGTGGGGAGTGGGGACCTGGAGAGTGGATGGTGGCTCACTGGGATAAACAGGAGGATGAGGGCTTATTGAGGGAAAAGGGGGCACAGTGAGGCCTGTGAGACTTTGCCCACTGTCATTCTGATTCCTTAGCTGGGGACGTGACCTACACTCTCCATTTCCTTTTTTCTGGGTTGGGGAGTAAAGAAGGAACATTTTAGAACACACTATCAGAACTGGGAAGGGCCTTAGAACACAGAATGTCAGAGCTGGGAGGGACCTTAGAGCATAGAATGTCAGAGCTGGGAGGGACCTTAGAACAGACTGTCAGAACTTGTTGGGGGGGAGCTCTTAGAACACAGAATGCAGAGCTGAGAGGGCCCTTAGAACACAGTTATCTTAGAACACGGAATGTCAAAGCAGGAACATAGAATTTAGAACAAAAGACACAGAATGTGAAAGCTGGACGGGATCTTAGAGGTTAGAATGTCAGAGCTGGGAGGAACGTTGGGAAGAAGTTGTCTAAGGTAACCGTGCTGGTTTGTTGCAGAGACAGGTGTCTAGATACCTCCTGGTATCTAGACTTCTAATGCGCTGGAAGGGACTGATTTGGGTGGTGGGATGGAAATAGAAAAAGGGAAAGGCTTCCCCCATGGAGTCATTGGCTCTGACCACCATGCTTCTTGTCTATTCCTATCCTTTCCCATTCAGTGCCTCCTCTTCCCCTAGAACACAAGACCTCAAGGCCAATTCTGGTCTCCACTGATGACCCTAAACTCACAACCACATGCCTTCTGGGCAAGAAGAAGGCAGAGAGTGAACCTGGTGCCCCGACCTAGCTGTGGAGATTGTCCAAAGGAGCCCTGCCCCTCCCGTGTCACATCCCAGCCCAGCTCCCATTCCCCTCAACATGAAGTTCCCATTGAGGCCCCGCCCTTTATGTCCTGCCTGCCCCCTTCTCTTGCCTAGTAAGCCATTATCCTCACTGGAGATGTGCCCCTTCGCCTATGGTCCCCCCTACCCTGATCTCTTTCTCCCATCCCTGGCCACCCCCTATCCTGGAAGAGCTGGCCAGCTGGTGCTCCCTGATGGACCATACTCCCTTGGTGCTCACTCCGCTCTGCACCTCGGGCCTCGGCCGACCCTCTCTTCACCCTTACCTGACCGGCTGTGGCCCACAACTGAGGCCAGGGATGAGAGCTCTTCACCTTCCCAGTGCTGCTCAACAGGGCTGGACTCGGAGGCTGCTGCAAGCAAAGCTGGCAGGATCCTCCCCTCAGGCACCGCGGTCCTGCCCTATCCACTGAAGACAGAGAATGGCACCGTCTTGTACAAGTGTAATACCTGTGCCAAGGGTTTCAGGCAGCTCTCCAATCTCAAGGTAGCACACAGCACCGCCTCCTTCCCTATTCCAACTCCTCCTCTTCTCCTTGGATCCCAGTGTCAATCCCAAACCAGCCGGACATATCATGCCCTATCCCTCCTCCTCTCTCCAAGGAAAATTCTGAAAAAGGGGGAGAAAGAGGAGAAAGGAAAAGCAAGGGACAGTTGGAGGGAGTGGATACTAGAACATGAAATGGAAAGGATATGGATGAGATAGAAGGACTGGAGACACAGAGGTCGATCCTGGTTGGGGAGGCCCTGAGATGTGGGATGGGTAGGGTCTAGGTGCTATGGGTGCAAGAGAATGTCTTCAAAGTATAAATACATAAATGATTAGAGCTAGCTCCTGAGAGCTGATTGTTAAATTTTCAGTGTAAGCATTTACACCTTGGGAAATGCCAAACACTACAAATCAGGGTTTGATTTACTATTTTGAGTATCTAGACTTAAGAGAGTAATGGAGAAAAATGTTAATAATGAGCAGAGTAAATGCTTGCTTACATTTTTTTCTCTTGGAAAGCCAGTTATTAAACATTTGTCAGCATGCTCCTCACTAGAAGCTAATTTAGAGATCATAGACTCATAGATTCCAAGCTGGAAGGGATTTTAGAGGTCAGGAAGTCAAATCTTCTCATTTTATAGTTGAGAAAATTCAGGCCCATAAAAGTCAAGCTGGGATTTGTACGTTCCAAATCCCATGCCCTTTCCGCTCCACTACATCATCTGGCCTTGCCATCTTGGCCACTAACCAGCATGTAGTCAAGTGTTCTGCACACAGTAGGTACTTAATAAATGTTTCTGGAATTTAGTTATTTAATTGGATTGAATTAAACTAGCTGTATGACCCTGAACATGTCATATAACTTTTCTGATCATCATTTCCCTCAACTGTCTAAAAAGAAAAGAGGATAGAGGATCCTTAGGGGTAGGTGAGAGGTCCTGGAAGAATGGAGATGTTCGGAGGGAAGGAAGGATGGATGTGCAGGAAGAAAGGGAATGTCAAGAGATTGGGGGTTCATGAAGAGGAGAGAAAATGGAGAGGTTCATTTGGAAGATAAAGAGATGGGGTGGGAGGTAGAGGGTCTAGGAAAACCTCCAGTGAAGATGAGACCAGGAAGGACCGTCGGCCAGAGCAATCTGTCTCTGGCTCTTCACAGACCACCCTCATTCCTTCCCCAGGTCCACTTTCGAGTCCATAGCGGAGAACGCCCCTTTCAATGTCCTATTTGTAAGAAGAGCTTCATCCAGCTAGCCCACCTGCAGAAACACCAGCTGGTCCATTCAGGGGAGAGGCCTTACCAGTGCTCGGTGAGACTCTCTGCCTTCCACCCTTCTCTTTGTGATTGTGACTTAGTTTCCCCATCTGTAAAATGAGAGGGTTAGGCTAGATAGCCTCTGAGGTCCCTTCTGGTTCTTGACCACATATCATCCTCCTCTCCCATCCATCAGGAAGCTAGAAAGGAGGATTGGGGGTGGGTAGGGGGAACAGTGCAGTAGGAAAAATAGGGTCAGATTAATCAAAGAAGGCTCCTGAAGGAATTAAAATACAGTGCCAAGCTGAGGAGAGACAGAAAGGAGCAGAGAGGAGAGGGAGGGCTTCTCAGAGCGGGGAGGCAGGGAGCTCAGAAACAGTATCTGAGAAGGGAGCAGAGAGGCTGAGGGGGATTGGGCAAGTGGAGGGAGCAGGGACAACAAGTGGGTGACACCCTTGCCCTCCGCCCCCATACCAGGTTTGCCACAGATGTTTCAGCAGCACCAGCAGCCTCCAGACTCACCTGCGGCTGCACTCAGCGGCCCGGCCTTTCCTTTACACACCATGCCCCAGACATGGAGACCAGTCCATTGGGCACTAGGGGCACGTGCCTTGCTGCCCACTAGCCCCATGTCTGGGAGGTGACCCCAAACTGGAGAGGCAGGCACTGCTATAGCCAATGGGCAGTAAGTAAGCTTATGGGTGCCGGGGGAAGCCTCTCTGCCAGTCAGTCTGATTTTCAGGAGCTGGGGAAGAGGCAGACTGCTAAAGTATCTTCAGTGCAGCAAGCTGAGACCTTCTGAGTTGACCTGGAGGGCACAGCACCTCTGGCAATAATCCCTCCCAGAGGCCATGCTTTAATGTTTTCTGACTGTGAGCCTCTAGTGGGGAGGGAGTGGGGAAGGAAATGTGTTATAAAAATGACTGGGAGCTATCTAGGGCTATCTGAGTTAGATCTGACAGCCTCAAATAGCCCTCCCTGCTCTGACATTCTGTGTTCTAAGATCCCTCCCAGATCTGATATTCTGTGTTCTAAGGTCCCTTCTTTTTTTCTTATTTAATTTCCCCCCCAATTACATGTAAAAACAATTTTAGCATTCTTTTTTTTTTAATTTTGAGTCCCAAATTCTCTCCTCCCCCCCCACATTGAGAAGGCAAGCAACTTGACATAGATCATACGTGTGTAGTCATGCAAAGCACATTTCCATATAATTCATTCTGTGAAAGAAAACACGCACAAAGAAAAACCAAGAAAAATAAAGAAAGTAAAGGAAAAGTATCTTTGATCTTCATTCAGACTCTACCAGTTCTTTCTCTGGAGAAGGACAGCACCTTTCATCATAAGTCTTGCAGAATTGTCTTAGATCCTTGCATTGCTGAGAACTGCTAAGTCTATCCAAGTTAGTCATCACACAATGTGGCTGTTACTGTGTACAATGTTCTCCTGGTTCTGCTCATTTCACTCTGCATCAGTGCATGTAAGTCTATACGTGTTTTTCTGAGAGCATCCTGCTCATTATTTCTTAAAGCACAATAGTTTTCCTTCACAGTCACATACCATAACCTGTTCAGCCGTTCCCCAATGGATGGACATCCCCTCAATTTCCAATTCTTCGCTACCGCTAAAAGAGCTGCTATCAATATTTTTATACACATATGTCTTTTTCCTTTTTGTTTTTCATCTCTTTGAGATACGGACCCAGTAGCGGTATTGCTTGGTTAAAGGGTATGAATGGTTTTATAAAGCTCTTTAGGCATAGTTCCAAATTGCTCCCCAGGATGGCTAAATCAGTATACAACTTCACTAATAGTACATTAGTGTTTAAATTTTCCCACATCTCCTCCAACATTTGTCATTTTCCTTTTCTGTCATATTAAGCAATCTGACAGCTGTGAGGTAGTGGCTTAGAGTTGTTTTAATTTGCATTTCTCTCATCAATAGTGATTTAGAGCATTTTTTCCCATGTTACTATAGATAGCTTTGATTACTTTGTCTGAAAACTTCTTGTTCACATCCTTTGACCATTTATCAATTAAGGAATGGCTTTTATTTCTATAAATTTGACTCCGTTTTCTATATGTTTAAGAAATGAAGTCTTTATCAGAGAAACTCACTGTAAAAATTTTTTTCACAGTAATGATTACCAACTATGTTATTTCCCTCCATTCTATTTTCCCCATTTATCCTACTCTCTCTCTCCTTTTACCCTGTCCATTCTCAAAAGTGTTTTACTTCTGTCTTTTATCTCCCCCAAACTGCCCTCTCTTACATCAGCTCCTCCCGCCCTTATTCCCTTTCCTTCCTACTTTCCTGTAGGGTACAATAGATTTCTACACCCAACTGAGTGTGTACATTATTCCCTCTTTGAGCCAATTCTGATGGGAGTAAGATTCACGTGCTTCCCTCCCCACTTCCCCCATTTTCCCCTGCATTGCAAAATCTCTGTCAGGCCTCTTTTATGTCAGATAATTTATCCCATTCTACCTCCCTTTCCCCTTCTCCCAGTGCATTCTTCTTTCTCATCCCTTAATTTTATTTTTTTAGATAATCATATCATCACATTCAACTCACACCTCTGCTTTCTATGAATACTCCTTCTAACTGCCCAAATGAGAAAGTTTTTAGGAGTTATAAATATAATTTTCTCACATAGGAATATGAACAGTTTAACCTTATTGAATCCCTTATGATTTTTCTTTCCTGTTTACCTTTTTTATGCTTCTTTTGCATCTTGCATTTGAAAGTCAGATTTCCTATTTAGCTCTTGCCTTTTCATCAGGAGTGCTTGAAAGTCATCTATTTCACTGAATATCCATTTTCCCCCTGAAGGATTACACTCAATTTTGCTGGGTAGATTATCTTTAGTTATAATCCTAGCTCTTTTTCCCTCCAGAATATCATATTCCAAGCCCTCTGATATTTTAAGGTAGAAGTTATCTTTTTTTTTTTTAGTTCTTCTTCTTTTAATATAAATTTATTTATTTTTAGTTTTCAACATTCACTTCCACAAGTTTTTGAGTTCCAAATTTTCACCCCATCTCACCCCTCCCCCCACCCCAAGATGGCAGGCATTCTGAATACCCTTCCCCTAGTCTGTCCTCTCTTCTATCTCTCCCCCCTTCTCTTATCCCCTTTCCCTTCTATTTTCCTGTAGGGCAGGATAGACTTCTGTACCCCATTTCCTGTATTTCTTATTTCCCAGTAGCATGTGAAAACATTTTTTTTAAACATATGTTTTTAAAACTTTAGGTTTCAAATTTTCTCTTCCTCCTCCCCACCACCCTCATTGAAAAGGCTAAAGCAACTTAATATAGGTTGTACATGTGCAGTTATGCAAAACACTTCCATAGTAGACATACTGTGAAAAACTAACTCTATTTCCCTTAATCCTATCCTGCCCTCCCATTTATTCTATTCTTTCTTTTGACCCTGTCCCTCCTCAGAAGTATTCACTTCTGATTACCCCCTTTCCCAATCTGCCCTCCTCTCTATCATCCCCCTGCTCTTTTGTCCCTTTCCCCCCTTATTTTCCTGTAGGGTAAACAGATTTCCATACCAATTGAATGTGTATGTTATTCCCTCCTTAAGCCAAATCTATGAGAATAAGATTCACTCATTTCCTCTCACCTTCCCCAGTTTCCCTCCACTGTAAGAGACTTTTCTTTTCTGTTTTTTTTTGTGAGATAATTTACCCCATTCTACCTCTCCTTTTCTTCTTCTCCAAGTATAATCCTCCCTCATCCCTTAATTTTATTCTCCAGATATGACCCCTTAATCTTCAACTCACCCTGTGCCTTCTATCTATCTATCTATCTATCTATCTATCTATCTATCTATCTATCTATCTATCTATCTGTCTGTCTGTCTGTCTGTCTGTCTATCTATCCATCCATCCATACATATAATTTTTTTCCTTCAACTACCCTAATACTGACAAAGGCCTCATGAGTTATAAATATCATCTTTCCATGCAGGAATGTAAACAGTTCAATCTTAATAAGTCTCTTACAATTTCTCTTTCCTGTTTACCTCTTCATGTTCCACTTGAGTCCTGTATTTGAAAGTCAAATTTTCTATTCAGCTCTGTTCTTTTCATCAAGAATGCTTGAAAGTCCTCTATTTCACTGAATGACCATTTTTTCCCCTGAAGGATTATACTCAGTTTTGCTGGGTAGGTGAGTCTTGGTTGTAATCCTATCTCCTTTGCCCTCCAGAATATTGTTTTCCATGACCTGCGGTCCTTTAATATAGAAGCTGCTAAATCTTGTGTTATCCTGATTGTGTTTCCACAGTACTTGAATTGTTTCCTTCTGGCAGCTTGTAATATTTTCTGCTTGATCTGGGAGGTCTGGAATTTGGTTATGACATTCCTAGGAGTTTTCATTTTGTGATCTCTTTCAGGAGGTCATCAGTGGATTCTTTCAACTCCTATTTTGCCCTCTGGTTCTAGAACATCAGGGCAGTTTTCCTTGATAATTTCTTGAAAGATGATGTCTAGGCTCTTTCTTTGATCATGACTTAGAGATAGTTCAATAATTCTTAAATTATCTCTCTTGGATCTATTTTCCAGGTCAGTTGTTTTTTCTAATGAGACACTTCACGTTTTCTTCTATTTTTTCCTTCTTTTGATTTTGTCTGATTGTTTCTTGATGTTTCATAAAGTCATTAGCTTCCACTTGCCCAATTTTAACTTTTAAGGAATTATTTTCTTCAGTGAGCTTTTGTACCTCCTTTTCCATCTGGCCAATTTTAATTTTTAAGACTTTCTTATCTTGTATATCTTTTCTTCATATTATATTTTTGTATATCTTTTTCCATTTGACCAATTCTGCTTTTCAAGGCATTTTTCTCTTCATTGGATTTTTGTCTTTTACCGTTTGACCTATCCTATTTTCAAGGTGTTAGTTTCTTCAGTATTTTTTGTGCCTCCTTTACTAAGCTGTTGACTCTTTTTTCATGATTTTCTTGCATCATTCTCATTTGTCTTCCCCTCTTACTTGATTTTTAAAATCCAAACTTTTGAGCTCTTCCAATGGCCTGAAACGAATTCCTATTTTTCTTGGAGGCTTTGGACACAGGAATTTTGACTTTGCTGTCTTCTTCTGAGTGTGTGTTTTGATCTTCCTTGTTACCATAGCAACTTTTTGTGGTCAGAATTTTTTCTGTTGCTTGCTCATTTTCCAGCCTATTTCTTGACTTTTAACTCTTTGCTAAAGTGGGGCTCTACTTCCCAAGTGGAGGGGGCATTGTCCCAAGCTTCAGATTTTTTTGTGCAGCTGTTTTCAGAGGTGATTCTGGGGACCTGTAAGTTTTTGGCTCTTCCAAAGTGGTATGATTTAGGGAGAAGTGTGTTTACTACTCTCCTGTACTGTGCACTGGTTTGTGAGGGACCACAAGCACGCTTTTCAGCCCTGGAACTGCGACCAGGATTTCTGCTCTCCTGAGGCAACAAGCTCTACTGTCTTAGTGCTCAGGACTGGGACCCAGATCCAAGTTTAGGCAATGTAACGGAGTTCTGCCTCTGGTCCCAGCAAAGGGATCCCTGTAAATCTCCTTCTGACCTCTTGTGGGTCTGTGGCCTAAGAGGTCTGGAAGCTGCCAT